TCCGTGACTGTTCTTGAATGGCCCAGCCAGAGCCCTGACTTAAACCCAATTGAGCATCTCTGGAGAGACCTGAAAATGGCTGTCCACCAACGTTTACCATCCAACCTGACAGAACTGGAGAGGATCTGCAAGGAGGAATGGCAGAGGATCCCCAAATGCAGGTGTGAAAAACTTGTTGCATCATTCCCGAAAAGACTCATGGTTGTATTAGCTCAAAAGGGTGCTTCTACTAAATACTGAGCAAAGGGTCTGAATACTTATGACCATGTGATATTTCAGTTTTTCTTTTTTAATAAATCTTCAAAAATGTCAAAAATTCTGTGTTTTTCTGTCAATATGGGGTGCTGTGTGTACATTAATGAGGAAAAAAAATGAACTTGAATGATTTTAGCATATGGCTGCAATATAACAAAGAGTGAAAAATTTAAGGGGGTCTGAATAATATCCGTACCCACTGTATAAAAGCTCACATTGATACCAACAGTACAAAGAGTTTTACTTCAACAAAGCACAAGAAAACAGTTTCATCATACAATAAAAACTTTGAGGAAGGAAACAAGTGAACTCCTGTTTCAGGCTAAAACAGGAACTGGTCAATAAAAGGACTGTATCTATAAGTGGAAAGAATGAGTGAAATGGCTCTGGAGCACAGAAGATGTGTTGGTAGCCCACAGACAGGCCTTAAACTTTGGCTTGAAGAAGGTAACACAGGCCATTAATTCCAGAGTAACGTAGTTTCATAGAAGTTAAATTATGAACAAGAGTACAATTTATCTTAGTAATACTGGGCACATTACAGTCAAAACAGGCAGGTTACTTGTGGTGTGACAGATTTACAATTAGCAGGAAATGCTCATTGGAAAACATTCAATTAAGAAATTATAATTCAAAATCACTTCATTTTAAGTTTCATCTTCCAGGAAAAATTGTAGTTTTTCAAAGAGTGTATGTGCATTCAGAAGATGTTACTGTGGTACAAGAGTATCTGATACACAGTGTGATACTCAGTGATAAGACACTGCTGATTATGCATTTCATAATAGTTGTAGTTAAGTGAAATGGGTAATCTAGAGTACTGGCACTGGCAAAATACCATTTTCACCATGAATTTTATCCAGTTTACCAATTTAAATACTAAATTCTCCTGTCCATAAAAAATAAGAATCAAAATCATAAACCCTGCTCATGAATCATGGCGCATTACACTGGGGAAGAGCTATTAATTTCTCACACCAGTGAGCAAATACTTTAACACTCCTGCAGTTTAATGCAGCATGTGACAGTGTCAGCAGCAAAAACACAAACAAGAAGTGGGCAATGTCTCCCCAGATTTTATGTCCAATCATGATAAAACAGCTCAGTATGTGTAGTCCTCTTTGTACCTGAGTGAAGTGTGCTCTGAGTAATGCACTTGGGCTGAATTGTTGCTCGCAGCTTTATTCTCTAAAGAAATCAGTCAGCGTGTCATTACCATTCACAGGCTGATGTTAGCAGCTGAAAGGCCTGTGCACACATCAGGATAACTGCACAGAAAAAGGACTAGTAGAAAGAAAAGGCTGCAGCATGCGGGAAACGTATGACACACGCATGTTGCACACAGCGTTTCACACAGAGCCCGTGAATTCATTAAATTTATGTGTAGAACAATATGCTTGTTTATTTTGATCATTCAAGTTTATTTAAGAATGTGAGAATAACTAAGACTGATCAATATATCTGAAATGAAATGCCTGAAAATTAAAGCTTCAATTACGACACAACACTAAAACACGGGTTGATGTGCAGGAGCGACACAGCCTGAGATGTGTGATAGTCCTACGTCCTGCACGCGAGTAAATATTTGCATAAAAAAGTCAAAGGAGAGCAAAAAACATTTGACTCATTTATCTTTTCTTGCACATTACTAGTAGTTGTCCAATAAAGATCTCTGTAACTGCAAAGCATAGCAAATGTACTTCATGGTACTACATGACAATGCTGATAACATTCACCATAGTCCAGGATTCAAGTATCATGGCCCATAGTCATAATGGGACAGAAATATGAGACACCCAGGCATGATCTCTTTTACTTACTGCACCAAATACAAAACAGTCAAGTCTACTGTCCCACTGGAGTCTAGCAAAAGGAAACATATGTAAGCATACCCAAACCCTAAACATTAATCGTAAGTTTAAGGGGAAAGGATATATTGATTAAAAATAGAGAAATCGCTTTCAGTCACCACACAACACCTCGTCTAAATACCAACCAGACCTAAGCTACACCAAACCGACACAACTAGCTCTACAGCTTCTTTAGGGAGTTATACTACAGCCGGATAGACACCTGAAACTTACCTCCATTCTCATGAATGATTCCAGATTATCAGAGGACTGGGACAAAAAGGGACCAGAGTAAAAAAAACAGAAAGTCATGAGGAAGGGATTACACTGTTTGCACCACGGCCGGGTGGAAACAGCTCCTCATACCAAACCAAAACCCAGAACAACTCTAAGCTCCATTCACCAGGACTCCACATTTATTCCTGTTCAACTGTGCATCAACACAACTGAAGCAATAACAAACCATTTACTTTCATTGAGAAAGTTAAGTGTATTTACAAGTTACAAAGAACCTCTTTAATGGCTCTTAATTCATTTTTTTCACCTTTTCCATGGTTTATTATCTTGTCAGATAATTTATTAAAAGTAATTGTGTTTAATCAACATCCCAGGAGTAGTTAGTTTCGTGTTAGCTGACCAAAGTGAAATCCAGTGGGGCCTTGGATTCCTGAGAACCATGACCTGAGTGAGCTGTGAATACCTATACCTGCTCTGAATCCATGTTATAACCACTGAGTTACCATAACCTTACAGCAATAAAGCAGTAACTGTTGCATGCTTAGTCCAGCTACAGTATACACTATTATGTGCTCTCTAAACTGTGCATTAATGCCTAATTGGCTTTGACTTAAAACTAGAGTGCCTATGAGTGCAGACACTAACAGCAGGACAAGAAGTTAACGATGAGAGGCAGCAGTGGAACACAGACACGGCCAGAGGAGCAGCTGGAAATTCAGGCTGGTGATTCTAGTGGTTGTTATCTAGATTAAATACTATGTTTTTATTCATCTTCACTGTTTTAATTAACAAGTCCCCACCTGTCCCTCGAGCATATCTCTCTGCAGGCCGGAGCGATCCTGCTCAGTGCTGTTGGTCCTACGAATGGACAAGCTGTGGGACTTCCTCTTCTGCTTGGCCTGCCGGGCAGCAGCACTGATCCCACTCTCCACTGGCATCCCTCCTTCCCAACCTGATGTAACCACAGTCTGAAAGTACACAGTCACAGGGAAAAAGGAGACCAAAGGGTCAAGTGAACAAATCCTGTCTGAAATAACGCAGGGGGTGAGGGCTATGTGTGACTCCCTCGCTCAGCGACTACACTCAGAGGAAAACATAAGACAACTGTGGTGTCCTTGGCAGTAGTTGTATCTGGCTGCCTCCACGTGTGAATGTGTGAAATGACAAAGTTGAATGAGTGTGAAACAGAGCAGTGCTGAGTGAACAGGCTCAACAAACCCTCAATGGGTGCCTTAAGGTGTAACGAGGGATTACTGATGCAGAAACTGAGAAATGTGCAACAAAATTTTATTTCTAAAAACAGAAAATTGTCTGAAAACTAGTGTTTTCTTGAAGAAAGCAGAAATGTTCTAATTAGGGCAGTAAGCAGGAAAAATATACAATTTCTCCTTAAAATAATGTAGTCAGAAGACCATCTTCTGATAACATACCATGGAACAGTCTAGATAATGTTCATAATGCAGTGTAAGGTAATGGACCTTGATTTTTGATTTGATTTGATTTATTCTTTCAAACATGTAAAGACAGTCAATATGTCAACACACATAATTTCACACATATCCACAAATGCATTATCAATTTGCTTATACCTAGTACATGCTTGAATGGAGTAGGAAGAAGTCAGACTTATCCAGTCCTACCCCATAACATCATCTTACCATCACTGGTTTGCAAGCAGTATCTCTACATAGATAATTTTGTTCTACACCACGCAAGTGATATACTAAAAAATTATTACAGATTGTTAACATTCTTACATAATTACATACTTTGATAATTATCTTCTACACCACACAAGTAGAATTATTACATAGTGTTAACATTCTTACACCACACCCACAATGTTACACCGGATTAATC